AACATTGTCAGGGAAGACCCAGTTGTCATTTTTGGAAAATTAATCTTCATATTTATAGAAAACATGACATTAAGAACTGTGGCTGTGTGAGGGTGTTGTGGGCTGAGTAGTGACACTCTGAGGATATTTCTGTAGTGTCCTGGTAAATATAAGGCCACTACAGATATGACTGTATTGCTTCCTAAGCTATTTCTTATGCTCTGTAAGATGGCAGTGTCCATTTCCCTTCATCTCTGTGAGTTGCTAATCAAGTAGTCATGCCACTGACGTGAGGACAAACTTATGATCCTGAGGAAAACAAGGTGGTGATTTTGGGAAAAATAGCCAGCTCTAGGGTACACAGCAGTTCATGTTACCAAAAGTGAGGCACAGAGATGGAAATGGACGCTGTCATGTTATAGAGCATCAGAAAAGTGACCTCAGATTTGCCGTGAAATGATAAAAATATCCTCTTCATACCACCACTCGCACTCCCCAACATGGTCACGCAGCTATAGTGTGCTATTAGAGGGGGTGGGAAAGGGAGCTTTGGCGCATCGCCACGGCATACAGCCGCACTCCACAGATCGAGCGGTTGTTATGATGCCTCAGTGCGTGACCCATTGGGAATAGGTTAAACCCACTATTATTATTGATGCTGATAGTAGGGGGAGGGGGGCATGAAAGGTACCATGGAAGTTATGAATAATAAAGTATAAGTAATAAATAATTTTATTACTATGATAGTAGGGTCTTCCTGTACAATATTTATATCATCAAATTTGTTCTCGTGTGATGACAAAGAACTAGATGATCATTTCTGTTGCATTCACAAACTGACAATCTTGATGTATTTTGAAAAGTCCTGATAGCAGGGGAGGGTATGAAATATATCAGGGAAATTACAGGGTAAAACAGACTGCAATCAGAAGAATAGAGAAAAGAAATGTATAAAATACAAAAAATGCTTAAAATTGGCTCATGAAATTCTATAGACGTCCCCGCAATCTTTGAAAGTCAATGGACTGACACACCAGTTAAAAAAAATACAGGATTTCGCACAATCCAGATCCCCCATGGTAATCATGCAATGCTTCCTAATCAATAAACCAGCCTAAACCCAGCAGGATTTATACTGCCTGATTTATACATTTATACAATCTATATATTCCTTAGCCATGTGGCTCTATCCCCTGGACCCCTGTGATAATTTATACACCTAGCCGGGGTCTCTGCCCCCTGGACCCCCATGGCTTTAAGAAAATTTGATCTATATATTCCCTAGCCTGGACTCCCAGGGTAAAACCACATGCCTTAACCCATTGGTGCCGGGTATGACGTGTACGTACGTGCTATGCCCACCATGAGTACTTGTTTGATTGTTTTTACGCATAGATAGCAACACTTGTACTAAATCACCAATGAGCCAACTTCGAGGACCGCCCATCTCGCCCGTTTACCCGTTTCTTTGATTTACGAAATATTTTACGTTATCTTATGTTGCTGTTACTTATGTTAAAAAACATTATAAAAATTATAACGTTTATGATAAAAATAACACCATCATCATAGTACTAGTGAAAAATACGTTTTTCCCGCCATTTCAAATCAGGTGCTAGCAGAGCCATCTATCGGCAGACATTTCACGAAAAACAAGTGGGCACAGCATTTTCCCCATTTTTTTTTTTTTTTTTTTTTTTTTTTTTTTTCATTTTCCCCAGTGGCATTGGGTTAATATAGCAAAATTTCTTTGCTTCCATCTATGGTTAGAATAGCTTGGTTTTTAATGTCTTATTTTGGCATTTGGGGCACTTGATGGGCTTTAATATCAAGCTGTGATAGATATTAATGTCTGTTTTCGTTATATCCACGATATGGCTTTAAAAATGACCTGGAATCAATGCAACAAAAATTTCTCACTGGCACGTGTCAATGAATGGTTTCGCACAGCTTGTCAAATCTCCCAGTGGCAAAATGCACATGCGCAGAAGGTTGTTGTACAGAATAGCATAAATAGTTACCAAAACAAGGAAAGGAAGTATAATAAAGCTAGAAGAATGAATCAAATACATGGATATGGAAAAACATGCTGGTTACAAATACGATTGGGACTTAGAAAATGATAGGTCTGTTTTCTTTATTCTCAGTCCTGTATCTTTTATTTTCAATTTGCGCATCTTATGCCAGTGTCCTAGTCTTCGTCAAGGTAACCACAGCATACACGCTTTATACTGTTATTTCCACACTACTATGTAATTGGAATAAATCACTATATTGTTTAATCTAGGTGGCTGTTCCCCTACAGGGGTCCCTGAAGTGCTAAGAATCATCCACATTAGGGTTTAGAGGGGAACAGCTCCCTCAGGAAGTTGCAGGGGGGACAGCCCTATGTATTTGATCAATTCAATGTATGTTGTTCATATTTTTCCACACAATTTCCCTGGTAATGTTCATACCTTCTTATTTCCTGAATATTTGCTGACATAAAAGAAAGTATTGATTTTGTCTTCAAATATTTGCTGACATAAAAGGAAGTATTGATTTTGTTTTGAAGTATCCTCACACCCCTGAGACTAAGTCCCTATTACTCCAGCCACTCCTAGGAAATCCACAAACTGCCATATGAACAAAACACTTTCACCCCCTAGACATCCTTCCAATTACTGTTTCTCTATTGGGGCTCTGGCCCCAGACTTCTCACTTCAAGAATCACAACCTACTTTCTTCATTCCTGACTCATTTTTTACCCCCACAGATTATTTCATGTATCAGTATTTTCATGTAAATGCAGAGCAAAGTATTAACATCTATGATTCATATGACATGACTATCACTTGAGGGTCGGATGACATTATCTTCCCGTCGTAGGAGAATTTAGCTCTACGCAGTTTTGAGCATTTTGACTAATAGCCGGGGTGATGGGAAGGACTTGCCATGAGTGCACAAAGCTCTTAGAGGGTGATTACACTTCATTAAACTTGTATGGCATACAGGGAGGGCTTTATAAATGAGTGTGTAATGCAATGTCCATGAGCCATGACTGGAAGAGCACCAGCTCCAAAGAGGACACTATTTCCATGCTTAGAATCCTATTTCTGCCTTCCATGATGAGTGACACAGGTTGTATTACAGAATTTAATATAATAAAAAAATTACTTGCTATTATTGCACTGAGTTTTAGACTACCTTGAAAGATGATGTGGAGTCTGTGCATTGGTTAGTAATAGTCAAGTATGATGATTGTAGGACAAAAAAAAGTTCAGTTTATCCCCCATTCTTATGGGAAAAGTATGCAGTGTAGCATAGTACCATCTCATACTTTCATTTCACTGTTTGGTCATGACATTAAATATGTGCATTGATTTTCCATAAAAATTAGTGTGTGTATACTAAGTATGAAGCATGACAAAATTTTTTATTGTGGATTATATTCTGTAATTGATAAGAAGGGAGATCTTGGGAGTGCATCAGATGGTTAACAGCTGCTCAACATTTCCTCTTCTATTACTCCTTCCCAACTTTCCCTACTCCTGTTCAAGAATGGCATTATGTATGAAACTCGCTTTAAAAGTGACCACAGAACAATTAAGAATCTAATGTCATTGATATTCATGGGGGAAAAATATATATAGGCATTCTTCTTGAATATAGTAATAACCTAACCTGGCCATTACAGGTTGACACATGGAATCCCCCTCCTTTCCATCCCAACAGTCATCCACCTATTTACTTGACTAATTGTTCAGAAACGTCTAGTAAGTTGCATAACCCATCACAGCACAGGATGATGGCTAATGAAAATGTGCAGAGATTTATAGTAACTAACCTATAGTAATTAGACTTTTCAGGGACCTTATCTTTATATACATTTTAAATAATAGGGGTAACTTGTTTTTCCATTACAAAGAAGTAGATGTAGACCTGTAACCTAATGATGCAGTTGGTTACACTGCTTTGCTAGTAGCATGAGGAAACTTCAGTAGCAGGCAATGAGGATCAATGCTCTCCCAGGAAAAATACTTAACTTATGTCAGTGTTTCTACAATTACTAACACTTAACCAGTATCTGCTGGGCTACACCTATAGCCATCATAACTTACCCAACTCATCATGCTGGGTATTTCTATAGGCATCACGATGCGCTATAGTGTGTTGAGTGGAAAGTTCCGCTACATAGAGCAGACTTCCAGGCCAAACTGCAGAACGGTTGCCAGAAGTCACCAGAGTCTGTGACACAAATTTCTGATACTGTCATTAAGGGGTTAAAGAACTTGCACTAGCCAGAAATGAAGTCCCCAACCTCATGTCGTAAAATTTGTTCAACAATCTCGGTTGCTCCTAGGCCAAACAGCAGTGACTAGTCAGTGACTCTTAAGAGTTTTCTAATACAGATAGTCCCCTATTTAAGAACATTCTACTTATGAACATTCCATACATACAGACAAAAATTTTTAATTACTAAAGTCCAAAAAATTGTTTGAAAGATGCCAGCAAACTTCAAATTTCCTGGGCACGAATATAGTTCAAGAGTCTGGTACTGTGTAAGGTATGTCGTACTTATTGGGATTTATTTACAGGTATTCTTAATGTAAACAAAACTTTAAAACAGTGGGGAAAAAAGGTAATGGAGACCCGACTTTCGACATACAAACAAATCAACTTACAAACAGCCTCTCGGTCCCCATTATGTTCTTAAGTTGGGGACTTACTGTACTAACTTTGAGGCCTTCAAGAGGTCCTCAAAAGATTATTTGTATTTATTTGTTTATTTATTCATCTTTTTTTTTTTTTTTTTACAAATGTGATAATCACACTGCTACTAGGTTCCGGTATCTAAAATCTAAAACTTGTTATTTCAGAATACAGTTATGGAGGTGGATATGGGAGTGGAGGTAGTGGTGGAGCAGGAGGTAACTACGCAAGTTATGGAGGTGCATCAGGAGCTGCTCCACCACCAGCCACCTCCTACCCTCCTCAGCCACAGTATGGTGGGTACTCAGCTCCACCTCCACAGGGATACTCACAGGGCCAGGCCCCATATGCAGCACCACCAACTTATGGTGCCCCACCTCCACAACAAGGTCTGTATTTTATCCCAACTCTTCTTTCTTTGTTTCTTTGACTAAATAATGAAGTCCTTGAATATTACACTCCTCAGTTATGGTTTACTGTGATTGTTAATCAGTCAATAACCAATGTATGCATATAGATACTAGAATGTTGTTTGCTATCAGGTGGCCAAGGCGCTTCTTATGGTGGCTATGGACAGCCACCACCAACACAAGCCCCTACCCAACCACCCACTGGCAGTGCCGGATACAGTAGCTATGGCGGACAATCACATGGTTATGAACAGAACAGTAATTACAACTCTGGAAGTTATGGACAGACACCTGCAAGCAACTATGGTGGTCATCAGAGTAGTACCTATGGTAGTCAGCCTAGCGCTAACTACTCGACTCCACCATCCCAGGGAAATTATGGAGGGCCACCACCACAAGGAAGCTATGGTGGTGGGCCTCCCCCTCAGGGAAATTATGGGGGTGGCCCACCCTCTGGGGGAAACTTTGGGGGACAGCCAGGATATGGTGGTCCACCACCCTCCAATGGAAGTTACGAGGGACAAGGTGGTGGATACAACAGTAAGTCTGAATACAATATTACTGTTGCATTTTTACTTTTCAGGAGTATGGCACTGACAAGACTGATATCTGACTCGACTTCGTTTTTGACCTTCTGTAGTAGATGAGATAATCAAACCGAGTTGTGACATAGGGATTAGAAAAACACATGGAACATATGAAGTCATTGAGCTCCAAAATGATTCTAAACGAATTGATAACCTTTTCACAGAATTGAATTCGATACCACGTTCACGTGTTACATGTGTGCAAGAAGGCATTTATTTCATAGGTCATCTTGTCTATTGTTCACTAATTGAGGATGATAATTTAATTGATAACCAGGCTTTATTGTGTCTATGCAGTTGTCATTTTTTCTGAAGCTGAGATTGGTTAGAGGTTGGAGGGGGGAGATGTGGTTTTGATGATCTCCCATTGACCGTTTTAAGGTTGTGTCCCAGGGTTCTGTACACGCATACATGTATGTACTAATGCAGACTGCTGAACTTTTCAAGGTGGTCTAGGCATGGCTCCTCCCCCCCTGTCAGCCCCTCCAGGCTGTGGTGGCATGTACGGGTCGCCGCTGAAGCAGTCCCCGGCTCCCATTCCTAGGTAAGTTTAACCAGCGCTAGACCACTTAGAGGGTGTTGATAGTGTGATAGTCTTGCTCACAGAGTTGAGAGATCTAAGGGTTTCAACATGGTTGTAACAAAATGTTGTAATGGGAAGAGTCGTGAAGTACCCTTTTTTATTGTGCTTTGTGCATATTGGTGTGTTTTTAATTTAAAAGATACAGGAAAAGATTAATATTGGTCATTATGGTAAATTATGAGACTTGTGTTTCATCTGTGGTATATAAGGTTTACAATTAAAAAATATTCTGAGAGGTTGTATATGTTACAGATACTTATTACATTTTTAGTTTTCCTGACAGGTTTTTCGTATCCCTATGTAAGAATGGGAACTGCGGGAAAGCAAGAATTGGTTTTTAGATATTGCATATTTTCCTTGATTCGAAGTGACGTACATAGCTAAGTGTGGAAAATTTTAAGGTAATAGAAAATGAAAATTATTGCCTGCGAGGGTTCTTGGTGATATTGTTGAACGTATGGTCATGTGTATCAGAAGCAAGTCAAAGAAATGGATTCACAACTAGTGTTCCAAGTTCCTGTAGAGTGAAAGTGTCCATGCTTCAAATTTTTCATGATGATTTGATATATTAAAGTGCATAATAGGCAGGGCTTATTTGATCAGCATGGAAAGGAACACTAGAAAAAAAAATTGTGTAAGGCATTTTGAATCCATTGGTTTTGCATAATGAAGGAGAGTGAAGGCTAGAAGACAATAACCTGTGTGGTGATGGTGAGAGTAAGAATGAGGCAGCTGATTGGCCAGAGGCAGAGTTTGCAGGAAGAAACCCAAGTAATCCTGTTGAGGACATCACCAACCTTCCCTTGATGTCTGTTCGCCTGTAAATCCAGCAGACTTATACCTGACTTTCAGCTCAAGAGTTTACTCTGCCAGGTGACAAGCAGGTCTTGATGCCATGTGGTTATCTCACATGTGTGTCCATGCCTTCTATTATGCCTTACAGTTAACATGACTCAAAAGTTGAATGAATGTATTAACCATGTATGCACTGGAATGCTTGTTACTCTGGAATCTAAGTCACTTTTTATTGACCTGACCATGACTTCCTTGACTGACTGACTGCCTGACTATTAGACAACATCGTGCCAACAGAGCTGCTGATGTCAAAAGGTCTCCTTACAGGCGAGATCAAGGGAGAGGTTATTGCAAAGGTAACAGCACCATCAGGTGCTTGTGGTTTTTCATCAGTTTTGCAAATGTAGACCACTTTCTATTGTAAGACCTCACTTATGGTGTCAGCAGTCTTATTATTATTATTATTGTTATTATTATTATTATTATTGTTATTATTATTGTTATTATTATTATTATTATTATTTTGCTGTAATAAAAGTGAGGGCTTTACAAGAAGGATGTACACTGGTCTCATACTGGACCCATAATTTAGCCTTAAATTGCATGGTTGTTCTTTTTTTTGTCATTAATAATGGGTTCAGCTGAGATTTTTGTATGGTCTCTGCATAACTGTTTAGCCTCAACTGTATAATATTCATGTTGTTTGAGAAAGTAGCATACTTTAAAGTGTATGGTGAACTCTAGTTGAATAGTCTATTATCAATTATCAGTTGAGGATAAACTGTTTTAGACTTTCGAGTGTATGAATAGAATATCACACTGGCACATAATCTTGTTATTGTCTGCCCATACATTCTTCTTGATAATGTAAGTTCTATGTCAAGAGTATTAGTATCAGTTTTGAGAAGCTTGCTGTGAGATAAAATCTAAAATGATTTGAGGTGCAAACAAACATGAGCAGTGGAGTTTGGCAATAAATTTGTCCTAGTAGATACATCTGTTGAGATTATCAGGGGTAGTGAATGCTCAAAATGTTGTGTGTTATGTTGCATTCATTGGGGGAGTCATGGAATGATAGTATTACACTGTAAGAAAGTATAGAGATACATTGTATACAATGGTTTATATTTATATATACAGAAATAGCCTTCGAGTAAAGATCTTTCTAAATTGTGTACAGAATTGTACCAAACAGAAAAGGTTGAGATGAATTTTCCTTGGTGTTTTTAATTTGATATGCAATATATTGTTCCTTCAATTTAGATTTTGATTAATAAATTTTCCCTCTATGAATAAAACTGCTTGTGAGTAAGCACATTTTTTGTCTTGTTGATTATAAGTACTAAGCAGTTGGTACCTTTACTGAAGTGTACTTTACTTTTGTTGTGTGTACTGGCATCAAAACAGAAAACACAGTATACTAAAGGGCGGGTCAAGGTGCAGTTTGTTTACTAAAGAACAATAAAAGTTTGCACAAAGTTTTATGGTAAAGGTTCTTTTAACAGACTTGTGTGTGGTGTACATATATTTATTTTAATATATAGTATTCCTTGAGTTCTGATACAAAAGAAAAAATGGTTTCTATGGATAGTGTTTGTGTGGAAATAAGATATTCATATATTCAGGCATTTTATATCCTTAGAGTAGGTAAAACCTGATAGTTGAAAGTGGTATTTGGCCTTGTAGATGTAAGAGAGAAGCTTAACTTTGGCTGAATACTGCATGTATTAAATCTGGAAAGAATTGTTACCAGAGTAAAGCCTATGATTGACATAAGTGTAATAAGCATATTTAAGCCGAGTTAAGTTATCCATATTTAACTTTAATGTACTGTATTCGGAAGAGGGATGTGTGCTGGTTTGAACATGAGGGACCTGATGCAATTTTCAAAAATTAATGATGATCATTTGATTGGATAGTTTTTGTCCCAAACATTCCAAACCACCACACTTATCCATCACTTTGTTTAGGATTTGATAGTCCCCTTCTAACACAAGAATTATGTTGGCGCACAGAGGGTGGCGGTGGAAGCTACGGGGGTAGCCGGTTTGATGGCGGCAGCCGTGGTGGTGATCGGTCAAGGGGAGAGTCAGATTTGGTAATGCAGGAAGACACAATCTTTGTGTCTGGAATGCCAGATGATGCCTCTGAGGATGATGTCAAGGATCACTTTGGTTCCATTGGTGTAATCAAGGTAAGGAAGTTTCAAACTCTGTCTAGAAATTGTGTGACTCTTATTTGCTAATGGTTCTGGCTTTGATCAACTCCATTTTTTCAAATTTCACTCGTACAGTTAAGAAACCTCGTATGGATTAATAGTACACATTTTATAGTACACTATTTTTTTCATCTAGCATAGATTGAACTGTGATTGTAAGCATACAAATCCTTAGCCTCTCTTTCCATCCAGATGGATAAAAGAACTCAGCGCCCTAAGATTTGGATGTACAAAGACAAGGCCACAGGAAGAATGAAAGGAGAATGTACAGTCACATTTGATGATCCATTCACTGCCAAGTCTGCCATTCAATGGTTTGACGGCAAAGAATTCATGGGCCGTGTTGTTAAGGTAACAATGTCTTTTTTTGCTTGGTTGCTTATTGCACTTGGCTATATGTATACCAGTGGAACAAATATGAGAGTAGATAAAACCCAATGTGAAGTTCAATGGAATGAATTTTACAGCAATGAGAATTAGACAATATATGCCCTATTTATTTTTAAAAACTGCTATATATGTTCGAAATCCTTTAATTCAAAAACTTATTTTTTTTACATTTTCCTTCAGGTACAAATGGCAGAACGCCCAAAAAGTAGCTATGAGCGAGGACGTGGGGGCTATGGAGGTGGCGATGACCGTGGGGGACGCGGGCGTGGAGGTGACCGTGGATTTGACCGGCGTGGAGGATCAATGGGTGGACCTGGGCGAGATGGGCCTCCTGGGGGCGGACGTGGTAGGCTGAAGTGAAGTGCTTTACGTTTGCCTCTATAGTCAAGAACATTTTTGATGTGTGTGAAATGTTTTAGGCAAGAGCAAATCTATATATATCTGTATTTTGATATATATATAATATATATATTATATATAATATATATATTATAATATAAATTAAAAAATTAAATTATATGAGAAGAATAGATGAAGTATATATAAGAGATAGATTATATAATATAGATATATTATATATAATAGATATATTAGAGATATGAGATATAATATAGTAGAGTAATATTAAGTAGATATATTATATATATGATATTATATATATATAGTATAGATATAGATATTATATATAGGAGAGATTATTATATATATATTAGAGATAATAGTAGAGATATAGGAGTATATAGAGCTAGAGGAATATAAGAGAGATATGATAGAGAGCGAAGAATTAATTATATATATATATAGTGATATATAATATATTATATATATTATTAGAGATATAGATATAGTCGATGATAATAGAGTATTATAGATAGATATATATATGAGAATAGATACTATATAGATGAGAGATATGATAGGATAGATATGTATAGTAGATATTGTATATTATATATGATATTATATATTATAGAGTAGATATATATATAGTATTTATAATATAGAGTATATAGATAAGATATATAGATAGATTATTAGATATATATATATTAGATATCATATGATAGATAGATAGGATCTATAGAGATAATATGATTAGCTATATAGATATCTATATATTAGAGAAGGATATTATATATATAGATAGTATAGATGTATATAGAGAGTAGATGATATAGTATATGGTATAGTAGAGTATAGATAGAATATAGGTATAGTTAGAAGATATATATATATATATATATAGTATATAGATAGATATGATATATAGAGATAGATTATATATATTATAGGAGATTGATAGTTATAGTATGTTATATATATATAGAGTATTATATAGAAGTTTAGAGATATAATACGATATATTTAAGATATATATATAGATTATTATAGAGATATCTATGGTAGATAGATATATAGAGAGATGAGATGTAGAGATAGAGAGAGATAGATTATATATATATAGATATAGAGAGATAGATAGTATATATTAATATAGAGAGATAGAGAGATAGAGATATAGTATAATATATAGATGATATATCGATATAGTAGATATAGATATAAGCTAGATATAGATATTATATAGATAAGAGATATAGAGATATATTATTAATATAGATAGAAATTTATAGATTATATATTATATAGAGAGAGATTATATAGAGATATCGATATATATATATAGAGGAGATATAGAGATAGGATATAGTAGAGAGAGGACTCATAGAAGATATATATATAGATAGATGATATAGCTATAGAGATATAGTATATAGAGATAGATATATAGATATAAGGAGATATATAATAGATATAGAGATATTAAGATAGATAGAGTATAGAGATTATGAGATATATATATAGATATTAATTATTATATATATAGATGATATAGTATATATATTAGAGAGAGAGATAGAGATGATAGATATGATATAGAGAGAGAGTATAATATATCTATATAGAGAGTATAGTATATAGAGATTATAGAGATTAAGATATATATAGATATAGATATGTGTAAATATATACGTATTATATATATAGAGATGATAGTAGAGATGAGATCTAGAGTTTATGAGAGAGAAGGCATATAGATATAGAGAGATAGAGATTATAGAAGATAGAGTATAGATTAGAGATATAGAGATAATAAGTATAATATATATAGATATATATATGATAGATATCTAGAGATGAGAGGTAGTATAGAGATATTATATATTAGTAGAGATATCTATTAGAGATGTATCGATGATAATATATAATATATATAGATATATAGGAGATAGATATATATTATTGAGATAGGAGATGATAGATATATAGATATGCTAAATTTTGAAATGATAGAGAGGATATAGCTATATATGATATATATATGAGAGTATATAGTAAGATTATGAGAGAGAGAGAGTAGATATGAGATGAGAGAGTATGAGATAGATATATATGATAGATATTATATTAGGATATATATAGAGAGAGATATATATAGATATACTATAGTAGAAGGATAGACTATATAGATATGATATTAGATATATAGAGAGATAGATACAGAGATAGGAGAGATAGGAGAGAGAAAGAGAGGAATAGATATAGATAGTATATAGGTAGAGATTAGAATATATATAGGATATATATATTATATAGAGATAATATTAAAGATAGAGATATGATAGATAGAGATATATTATATAGAGATATATAGATAGATAGAGAGATACGAGTAGGGTAGATATAGATAGCTATGTACTATTATTATAGATATATATATATATAGATATAGTATAGATATATATATATTATATAGAGATAGATATATATATTATAGATATATATAGTAATATGATATAGTAATATAAGATATATATAGATAGATGATATATATAGATTAGATAGATAGATATATAGAGAGATGATAGATTTATATATAGATTATATATATAGATTATAGAGTATATATATATTATATATATATATATTATATATATATATATATTAGATATATATATTAGTATATATATATATATAATTTATATATATATATGATATATATATGAGAAGTAGATAGATATTAGAATATATATATACTAATATTTATAGATATATATATATATAGGATATAGAATATATATAGAGATAGATATATAGATATATAAGATATAATATATAATAATAGAGTAGAGTAAAGATATAGATATATAGAGATAGTATATAGATAATATATATATTATATAAGAGATATATAGAGAATATAGAATATAGATATATATATATATATTATAGATTATGATATATAGATATATTATATATATATATATAATATGAGAGAGAGATATAGAGTAGTTAGAGAGATAGAGATAGGATAAGAAGAAAGATATATATATAGTATAAGAGATATTATATATAGATATTAATATTATATTAGATATATATATATATTAAATATATATATATATTGATAGATATTAAAGTTATATATAATATCTATTATATATATATATATATATATATATATATAGAGATCTAGATGAGAGATATTATATAGAGCTATTAGATAGAGATATATAGAGACAGATGTTTAAGAAGATATATATATATAGCTATATATATAGATATATATCTAATTTTTTAAAATTAAAATTAACATATATATGTAAGATAGATTATATATATAATTATATATATTAAGATATATATATATATATAATATATATATATATACGATATATAGATTAAGATAGAGATATATCTATATATATAGATTATATATATATATATAGATAGATATATATTATATATATAGATATATATATATATTATATAATATATAGATTATATAGTAGAGATATATAGATATATATATATATACTATATATCTATATATAATATATCATATAGAGTATATATGTATTAGTATAGTATAGTATATATATATATATATAATATATATATATATAATAGATATATATATATAATAAGAGAGAGATATATAATATATATATATAGATATATATATATATATATAGTAGATATATAGAGATTATATATGAGAAGAGATATATATATATATATATTATGATATATATAATATAGATATAGATATAGATAGATGTAATATCTATAGTGTATATATATATATATATATATATAGAGCGAATAGTATATGATATTATATATATATATATATATAGGATATATATATATATTAGATGAGATAGATATATATATATATGATAGATATAGATATAGATATAGAGAGAGATGGATATAGAGAAGATTAATAGTATATATAGAGAGATATATATAGTATAGATATATATATATATATAATTATATATATATATATATATAGTCTATATATATATAATATATATGAGATATATATATATATATATAGAGATATATATCTATATATAAGGAATATATAGATATATATATATTAGATATTAGATATATATAGATATTATAGAGATATATATATAGATGATGAAATAGATCGATATATAATATAAAGTATATATATATATAGATATTATATATATATATATAATAGTATATATATATAGATATATAGAGTATATAAGATATTATATATATATGATATAATATTATATATATATTATATATATTAATATATATATATATTATATTAGAGTATTATATATATATATATCTTTAGATATAATATCGAGTATATATACGAGATTAGATATATTAGTATAGAGAGATATATAATGATATGATATAGAGATGAGTAATATAGAAGAGATATATATTAGATATATATATAGATATATATATAGATAAGATATAGTATATATATATGATATATAGGAGATATATAGTACTAGATTAGATATATATAGATAGTAGATATAGATATATAGATGATAGATATATAGATAGAGATATATAGTAGATGATAATTATATATATGAAGAGATCAGATATAGATTAGAGAGATATAGATATATTTAGATATAATATATATATATATATATATATAATATATTAGAGATATAGTTAGATATAGATAGATAGAGATATAGATATTAGAGATAGGATAGATTATTATATATATAATATATATATGAGTAGATATATATATATATATATGATATATATAATGAGTAGGATAGAGATATATATATTATTATAGATATAGAGATTAATATATATAGAGTATATATTATAAGAGAGATAGAGATGAATATATTGAGTAAGATATATATAGATGAGATATAATAGATCGATCTATAGACGATATAGATATATATATATATATATAGATATAATATATTAGATAGATATATATATATATATATTATATATATA